TTGCCAAAAAATTGGTAATTAGGAATAGATTGATCTTTTGCCCTACAGTTTCCAACGTAATATTGATTCACTAAAAGAAAGGTAACCAGCAAACAATCACGATTTTTTAAAAAAAATCTTAAAACTATCTTTTTTATATTGCTGATAAAAAAATATGGTATCATGTTTATATACGTGCCAGAGTGTGTGATAATGCCTACACAATGCAAATGCAAAACATAAAAACAACACTAGCTAAGTCAGCTACCAGCAGATCTCTTATCGAGACATATAACACTAGCAAATAAAGATTCAATTTTAGAGGGCGGTTTCAATTTCAAAGACAACATACCTGCATCAATCGTCGAAAAACGTTTTATGCCTTGAAAGTGTTGTTAACACAACTAGTAAAGAATGCTTACTTACGTCCGCTATTCCCAATGGATAATAGGCCGCCGACCAGCATTCTCCAACCCACTCTGTCCTGGGCCTTCTTTTCTAGTTCCATCCAATCCTTGTTCATTATTCTCATGTCTATCTCCATTTCCCGGCGTAATGTTTTCTTTGGTCTTCCTCTCCTCCTTCGACCTTGAGGATTCCATATGAGGGCTTGTCTTGTGACGCAGTTGGGTGTTTTCTTCGATGTGTGTCCTATCCACTTCCAGCGCTTCTTCCTGATTTCTTCCTCCACTGGGATCTGATTTGTTCTCTTCCACAGTAGGTTGTTGCTTATGGTGTTCGGCCAGCGGATCTGAAGTATTTTGCGTAGACAACTGTTAATAAACACCTGTATCTTCTGGATGATGGATTTCGTAGTTTTCCAGGTTTCGGCCCCATACATTAGAACTGTCTCGACATTTGTATTGAAACTTCCGACTTTGGTGTTGGTTGCCAATTGTTTTGAGTTCCAGATGTTGTTCAGTTGTAAATATGCTGCTCTTGCTTTTCCGATCCGTGCCTTCACATCTGCATCAGATCCACCGTGTTCATCAATGAGACTGCCCAAATATGTAAAGGTTTTTACATCTTCCAAATCTTCTCCGTCAATTGTGATTGGATTGGTACATGCTGTGTTGTATCGAAGAATCTTGCTTTTCCCTTTGCGTATGTCGAGACCTACTGCTGCTACACTGGTCGTCTTCTGCATTTGTTGTTGTGTGTGCGATAGAAGAGCCAGATCATCTGCGAAGTCTAGATCGTCCAGCTTCATCCTGGCTGTCCACTGTATCTCATGCTTCTCCCAGATGTTGATCCAGTCGGTCAGCAGGAGGAAGAGTGAGATTGAGCAACCTTGCCTGACACCGGTCTTTACTTCTAAAGAGTTTGTCAACTGGCCTACATGCACGGCTGGTATTGATTGCTGTCTTCTTGTTTCTTCCCTTTCTTGAATCTTATCCAGTGTATCGACCGTGATCCAATCCTTGTGATGGTGCTTCTTGTGGTTCAGAACCTCATGACATGTTGAAGTGATTGCCTCTTTTATCTCTTTCCAGTTGCTCTCCATGCTAGTTCCATTTCCATTGAGTGGATCGTGAAACGCCTGCAACCTATTGCTGAGGACTATCTTGAATTTTGTTGAGTTAGTCAGTGTCGCGAAGAAACACCGTATTCGAGTTTTGTGATGTTGTCCGCCCCGTCGTCCAGTGCTTCTTCACTTTGAATTTCATCTTGACGACCAGCAAGTGATGATCTCAGGCTATATCAGCTCCTCTCTTCGTTCTCACATCCTTCATCGTCCTCCTGCACTTTCTATTGATGTAGATATGGTGGATTTGTTTCTGTGCAGTGTGATCCGGTGAAGTCCATGTGGCTTGATGTATGCGTTTCTGTGGGAATATAATGCCGCCTATGACCAGTTTATTGAAGGCACATAGGTTTGCGAATCTCTCACCATTTTCGTTCCTTTTTCCCAGTCCGTGTCGTCCCACGATGTCTTCATATCCAGTATTGTCCATTCCAACCTTGGCATTTAAATCTCCCATCAAAATGGTTAGGTCCTTTGTTAGGCACTTCTCGACGATTGACTGTAGCCTATCGTAGAATTGATTTTTAACGTTTTTTTTGGTGAGTTAGTTCTCTACGGGATGGGTTTGTTAGATCCATGCCCAACTCTGTTCGTTTGTCCGGGCTTTGGACCGGCAGTGGCCCCAGAATCGCTCTAGGCGAAGTTTGGTGGAGAATAAGATAAGCCTTATTTGGTTCAATTTACAGGCGTGTCCTTGATGTTTCACAGCTAAATGCACTCAGTAATTGTGGTAGTTACCTCTTTAGTTGATCGGGACTGCATCTTAACTAGACCGTATCCTTTTCTTAATAACGAGAACGACTACCGATATGTTACAGTTGTGTGTCAAAATACGGAGTTATTGATATTATGGACTTCCGTAAATCACAATCCTAAATTTATTTAGTTCAGACAAATCGAGTCACAACATTTAGGAAAAATGTCAGTCAAGTTGAAGACAGTTAGGTCGTGCTAAAGAAACGAGTACTTGGTTGGACAATTACCTGGGAATTCGGTAACATCGGTGAACACTAGGGCTTTTAGACGAAATAGGTTTTATAAATTCTATTTTTCGCTTCGTGTTAGACTACACCGATGCGTGAACTGAACATTTACAAACATTACTTTAGCTGTAACAGGAGGATTGTGCTTGGACGCCTTTGTTATCTACCATATAGTTACTCGAGGGGTATAGGTTGTAAAAAGAAGGGTTTTGTGGTGCCGTAAGATCGTATGATGATTGCTATTGAACTATTCATCCCAGCTACCCTTGTACGTAATTATCAACTTAATCCAAGTCAGAAAATAACGGGATCATTCAAATGTGAGAATGGCTTTTAAATCAGTATATTTAGATTAGAATGAGAAGGAATCGCATGGGATTAGGTAGTCGAACCACTTCTGATAGCCTTCCAACCCCATAAGTCCATGGTTTCACAAACTTCCAGGGTAAATCTAAGAGCCTTATTACATTAAGCTGCGATGCCTTCTACTTGAGGTTCTAAATTTGAATAGTTTATTCTGCTTGGCAATTTTTAGTGAGTTTGTTTTCAAATGATATGACTATATTTAGCTTCTAAAGAAGCATCCATGACAACAACAAGGAATTACGTACTGCTCACAAGTAATTTTCAATATAAACATTTCCATCGTCACGAATGACATGCATAGAGCATTACAACCATTTTACGACAGTCTGTACGAGATGTAGGAAGCGTCAAGACCGTTATTACCAATAAACCAATCAAATTGACTACTTCACCAACGTCTGGGTAAAAGTGGCTTTTCACGATCGTAGTAAATGGAGTAAGTAAATCTATTCTTCCACAATTAATTGCCCAACATAACCACCTAAACATTTGGAAGCATTAATCAAACAGACCCTTAAGATATTATCACCACAATCGTTTCTATACAAATGAGATTTCTTATTGCTCCATGTCCCATACATATAAACCTAGGTAATCATTTAATGTTCATTAGTTAGTAAGAGATGCTACTTTAACTCCACTGTTTTGAATCTAGCATTCCTCCTTATGGTCCTGATGACAATAATCTTGTGATTACTATGATTTTATGGACAGGTGATATAAAGAGATAACTTTATTTTGTATCTCATCTTTTGAAGACCGATTTGGTGTATATTCTCGCGCCTTGCTTTGAATTTCTTAGGTATAAAAGCGTGAGTCCCATCTACAATTTAGGTTCACTATTATGTTTAAGTGTGAACTAACAAAAATTTCACTGCACGTTCTTGTATAGAAGAGAATATTCAACATCTCATCATTTGGCAATCTAAAATCAGTCTTTATACAGGAAGAATGTATTCATAGTATTCATTCTTCAAATTGCTTAGAACACCATAACCAAGTTCATTAAGTTAATTTACTTACAAATGAATCTGAAGCATTCATGAATTGTCACTGTAAACAAACGACGTTTCATAAGAATATGTAGTCGATATGAACCTTCTATTTCAAATGAAACATCCGTTTCACAGCCATAGACAGATCCTTTCAGATGGTAACTGAAAATTTTGTCTTTCGCGTGAACACAATCGCTGTTCTAGAATGAGAACGCCGCTTACAAAAATGCTCCGTTGGTGTCCCATAAAAACCCTTGTCCAATTACACGCTTCACTACATGTACTGACGCATTAAAAACAACTGTCGAGCCAGTTTCAGAACGTCAGGTGGACGGTAATATCATACAAGTAACATTTCACTCGAAAAGGTAAGACTCAACGGAAGCAAAACGTAGTACAGTAATACAAGAGTGTCCGCCTACTTCTTGACAAGCATTCCAGTCACCTACTACAAGATCTTGGGTACACTGGTTTGGCTGGTTGCAAGTCGTTGTACTATTTATTCAACAGTTCATCTTAACAGAACTCACCAAGTGGAACTGGAAAGTTTGACCTTACATGGCAGCTCAATCGGCATACACTTAAAAAAAGAGTAAAAATATAGCAACGAATAAGTTGTTAGAAGTGATTGCGTATAATCCATCAAACCAATTGATAATTATCATGCAGAATTTATACGCTTTACTCAAAACTATACTTAGTCTATTATCTTATGTTATATTTAGAACTTAAATTTTTGTCATACCGCGTACAACTTGAGCACTAGAACGCTTGAACCCTCCAAGTCGCAAGTTAAAAGACATAAGACGAGTGGAGAGGAATCTTATTCTAACCAGTGTCAAATGTCGTACAAAACACTCGGGTATTTATACTTTTTAGTAGAAACAAAATCATGATTACAGTCATCCAATTCGCATGAATCATCATCTGTTGCTTGTAAAAGTAGCAATGTTCAAAATCATGTCATTGATCTACGTAGTAGTAGCAGTAGCATTAAATATCAAGGATTTATATACCAATTAAGAGAACGAAATATCATAAGTTCGACTAATAAGCACTAACAACACCCGATCCCACACCCTTTACCTCTTCTAAGAGAGGAGAGATACGTTGGCTATGTACTATAGACCCATAGGATAAAAAAGACCGTAAAAACTTAAATTATTTATTTATTATTATTGATTACTTAGTATTATGCTGTCTTTCGATAAAATAAGCCTATAAGCATATGACAAGAGACATCAAAATAAAATGTTCCGCTCCAGTTAATTTTCTTGTTTTATATACATTCATAAAATGAAATAAATATATGAATGATTGTATTGAACATGAAAAAACTAGGTGAAATGTACAAGGTAACAGAATCTTCTATAAATAATCAAATGCGATTTTCCGTTTTTTAGTTGAAAAAAATACCTGTCTAAACGATTACACGAATGAAACAAAACTTTCAAAAAAAGAAGGAAAAAATCACTTAACAATTCTTACCATGCACTCGATCATAACGACAACTCTCAGTTCACTAATCTCCACAACAAAATAAATGAATAATTAGCATCCATGTATGTGTGACCGAAATCTTATATATGAAATACCCTTAGCTTGTATACGGAAATTAAGACGAAAGTGTACTTAGAGAACCACATAAAAATGTTAACCAATATCAAATTCGATCTATCTTACACACTAAATGATTATACGATAATAAGAACAAATTACCAATCTGCTGATCTTTAACTTTTGAACACAGTGGAGTTGATACATAATCTCCAACTTTTGAGTGTTGCAGTTCAGAATCTTTGGTACTGTCTGCACCAAGGTCTAACTGACTTCTTTACGATCTGAAATGGATGGCTGACTTAATATTCGTTCGTGTTATATTATAATGAAAAGTGTGAGATTCGAAAAGATTATTTTTAAGTACTAATGAACAGTGAACAAAAATTACATTTTCTACTCTTCAGTTAAGTAAAAGATGGAGAAATCAAGTCTTAGTTGGAAAATTTATTAGATAAGCGAAAAAAATTAATCAATTATTCAGTTGTTGCATATACATTTATTGGCAACGACTTTGTAAAAAAGTTAATAAAGTCGTTTACTGATATCTGCAATCTAACAACCAGAGACCACATTTAACAACAGAAAGTCATTAACGGTAAGTAGCGCGTGTAGGTATGGAGGCTAAAAATTAGTTAGATATTGTGCAAAATAAATTACAATCATGGTATCAAGAGTGGTTTTTAGCGAAATGGACATCCTCATCAATCAGGAATTAGACGAACAGGTTTAAAAATTATCGCACAGGCCTACATACTTTTTAGGGAGAAAATAATACATAGAATAACAATGAATATTTGAATACTCTCCAAAGTAATATATGAATAGAGAAATACAATGTACATTAACCAGCACTCCCCTACTACTATGTTGGTAAGTTTAGATTTCTCAGAAATTTTTTAAAATCTCATACCCTTTGAGTTGAATACATTTCACTGAGAAAACAAAAACACTCGCAATTAATGAAAGGGCATTGTCTAGGTAAATTAATTCTACCAACTGAGTTAAACCATGTGGAAACATGATGTACATGTCCACCATGACTGCATAGTGGACACACTAACACAAGTCCTTTGCAGCTATTTCGGCATACAGTACAGATTAACAATCTTTGAGATTTCCGAGGGGCTGTAGTAGATTGGTGGTTCTCTAAATCCACCTCCCACTGACAATGTGTACACTGTACAGACTTAAGAGATCCATTGGAGCGTTTTGGAACTAAGTTAGAACTGCATCGCATGTCTGGACATGAAAGTAGAATCATAGCATTTGTTTGAACGTAAGGCCATATGTGGGATAATGAATTTGTACGAATATTGTACGACCAAGATCGAAGAAGATGAGCGTGCAAAATGTATTCGCGTAGAGAGTAAATAATGCTAGCGTAAACATAAATGTAGTGATCGAATGAAAACAAATCCTTTGGGTGCACAAATCTAAAATAAACAAGGATTACAGAAATAATGATTAAACATTTACTGGCTCAAAGATAAAATAATATCGAATTTCGAAGAAGTGAAATGTGTTTAATAGAATTAAAAAGCCGTATCTCTAAAGTTTGATGAATTTATCTTGATAAAGTAAGCAACTTCAAGATTGAAGAAACTCAGTAGTTATAATGTTGATTGTATTGGATCAAATCAAAAGGAATTTATAAACGGTCTAAAAAGTAACTTATACTGATGAATACCACGAAGTTTAGAGCTGATGATGACAGACATATCATACTACAGCATAAAGACGGCATCATCAACCAAGTAGGTTGAGAATATAATGATTTTGTATACGCCTATGTGGATTTACTCTTAATCAAACATATAACAATGGTAATAATAATAACACTTCAGGCAACATTTTTATCATCTTAATAATTCTACGCTTCTCAGAAATAATTATACGTGTCCTCGTTAATTATATTAACTGAATTGTATATATTTATATATGAGCTATCTGTAAGTCTGTACATACTTGCTTATCTGATAATCCAAATAACACACATTCACTGTTCTTACTATATGACTGCTTCTACGAATGCATCAAATATATGTATCTCAAGCTCACTCGTTTTTCAATTTCTAGCGTCGCGTAGTTATAAACGTGTTGGGTCTAAGAATATATCCGAAAAAACACAAGAAGTGGTACCGATCTAGGAAGTCATTGGCTTTCGTTTTGACGTCACTGAAATTCTTGGTGATATCATCTCGCTTTACTGAAATGACTTAGCGAAATGGCAAAGTTTGTGACAAATCCTAGATTTGATGTCTGACTGATTGCCGTTACAATCACATGTACTCAAAAAATCCAGTTGAAGGAGGAAATGACTCATGTCAAATACCAAATCAATAGAAAAGCCCAATCCTTAAATACAAGGTGAATTGATAGATTATATGCAAAACTTTGAGGAAAAAATACCCGATCTTAAATAGCAAGCATAATACCATTATGCTTAATCTAAAAGAACAACCAACCTTGATTGATAAGCACAAATTGAATTGATCGACAATTCCTTTGGAGGAAGTTGTTCTGTGGGACAACCGTTCATATTTTCGTTTGACTGGCCAAATACCAAACTAAATTCACTCTGTGTTTCATCAGAGTTATCTAAGGTAAATGACACTTGTTGTTCTAATGAAGAACTGGCAACTGTATTGCATCCTAAAAGATTTATTGTCTTTTCTGATTCATTCATGTGATATAATGAATATGTCTCCAAAAAGTTGTTCACAGATGACAGTGAAGTAATAGCTAGTATAAGAAGTAACATTTTCCTATCAGATTATGTTAAATAACCACTACAATAAAAATATTGTTTGAATGTACAAATGACTTGATAATGGTGTTCAATTAATTAAAGATTCATAAATTACTGTTCATAGAGAGGCAGGTGAAGAGGGACATATATCTAGCTAGAGCAATATTTTATTTAATTTTGGCTTACAAAATTCGCAAACCGTAAATAAAAACAAGAGCACACGCATTGGCAACAATGAAAATGGTATAACTTCTCATCAGGAATATGTACCAAGAAATAGAAAGGTACTTAACATGTATAGTTTATCTCAGACAATCATTAAATATGACTTATGAAAAACATTAAATGTGTTGATACAAGAGGGTTATTTCATGGATCTGCTGAAGTTCAAGTGATAAATGCATTTGAAATTTATTCACTGAAAATGGATATTTGGCTGGATAGCTCGTTAATATATTGATATCTATAACAGACTAACACTGTCATCAATTATATTGCTGAAACAATCGGTATGCTCTGTTCAGGAAAATTACATGACAAGTCATAAAAAGAAAAGCTGGTATAAAACTACTAGAAACCGCACTGCAACAAATCGTACTACAGACTAGATAAGGCAGTGACCAGCATCAGATATTCCCCATCAATTTTAGTGTTGAAAAGAAAACACAGAAATGATATAGTTTTGTCACATTACTGACACTCGTCTCGAGGTTCTTTAAAATATGTAAAGAAATAATATGTACAACAAATGCTAGTTTTATATTTGCGGATTAAACTTCTCAAGCAAATTCCTCTTTGACTTTGGGGTTATTCAATTCTAGTTTGCCGGATCTCTCCATTAATCAAAAAAGTTATATAGTGAACAGAACACGGGTGGGGTACAATGGAACAACAGAACTAGTTAGTAAAATCTAACAACCATACATTAAATGCACAATTTGCAAAATGTCAATCAGTTGTCTCAAATGACTCAGAATTCTTTTGTTCTTGCATTTTCATACAAATTGCACTGTCTTCATTCTTTACTGTTCGATCTTCTCGTCTCTCTGCTGTCAGACATTCTGCTCACGACTCACGTCATATACTACTTATGTCTACATAAGTAGCACACACCACGGTTCTAGTTAACAGGTATGAGGAGCCTAGAATTATTGTTAGTCAATGCAATTTCAGGATCTTTGGAATACCATCCAATTATTATTAGTATTTCTATTATCAGATTATTAGGTTTAACAGATACCTAGACCATTCCTCTTGAAATATATTTAGGATCTGCCACTACAAAATATTCCAGTAATATTGGTATAAAACTGTACAACTTACCATTCTCGAGTTTATTTAGTGAAATATTTGAACCATCAACTGTGTTGAACTGAAACAATAAAAGTGGTTAATTGATTATAATGAAGGAATCATCAAATATTGTAAAGCAGTTAAATATAGTAACTTGTATTAGTTATCGACAGTTTTGATAAATATTGGTGCGAAATATTAAAATGATTGGATTATTGAACACAAAAAGAATCTAATTTTTCGCTTTGTGATTCAAAATCTTATTGATCAAAAAACTAAGAGAAATTAGCGATGAAAAACCTTTTTGATTGATATTTTACTATTTAGGAACTTACTGGTAAACTCTATAGATATGTTAAAACAAATAATAGCATATTTTATTCCTATATAGTAGATGTGCTTAGACGTTGGACATATAAACCAAAACAGTTATTATTTATAATCAGATCAAACATAGTTCTTCTTTAGCTGCTATCTTTGAAAGTATATTTTTCAATGCATAATTTACGTTTTAATATATCAGTTTTCAACATATTAAACGTAAAATGCAGAATTAATGTAAGTATGTGAACAACCTATTGATATGATCATATTTGGAGAAGGAAAGATATCCGTCTATCAATTAAGAGATAAGTATACTGTGCAGCAGTTTGTTCTGTTCTAGTTTACAGCTGCGAAACGTGACCATTAAAAGTGGAAGATACACGTAAGCTACTTGTATTTGATCCCACATGTTTCAGAAATATTGCTCGCATCTTCTGGGATCACCGGGTAAGTAATAGTGAGGTTTGGCCCAGTGTATTAGGAAATGATGGCAAATCAGTTGATGAGGTTGTAAATCTTCATCGACTGGGAGTGTTGGGCCACGGGTTACGTATGCTTGAACACCGATTACCACGACACACAATGCTGACTAGTGTTGACGATGGTTGGAGGATAGTTAGGGGCGGTCAAACCAAAATGTGGAATCAGTCATTGAAGTCACTAACTTCTAGTCTGAGTCATGTTGGTAGATGCAGACTACTTGGTTGGGGTCCGCGTGACTATAGGAAACCAATAGTTAAAGACCCTGGATGACATGGCTCGGAATCGATCACAATGGCGTCGGTGTATACACTCTTTGTCTTCCCTTAAACCGTGAGATTGAAATCGCTTCATATCTTTCTTTCTACGAACTAATTCTTTCTTCCTGTACAATGTCCTTATATTCAATCTTTCTTTTATATATTACCACCATTGAAGTGACTACTATGAATTCAGTGTTCATCATGTTGTGCTAATGAGGTATGACAACTTGGACCGATGCACATATGTGCCTGGTCCTACGTAGTAGCTGACTGAATTGAACGAGGAGAATCACAATGAAACCAAGCTACATAGATTAGTAGTTACACTGTAAGCTTAGCTGATTCAAATTCACGAATAGCAGTAATTACTTAATAACGTTAAACTTATTGGTATTTTACAATGGTTACATGCAAAAAAATTAATATTATAATCTATACATTTTACAAATACTCTATAAAACAGCTTTCTGAAACGTTTAATAAAGGTTATGATAATAATAATATAAACAACGAATGTTGAATAAGGTTAAGATATAACTGAAAACTTCTATCTCACTATCCTGGCGAAGAAAACCAAACAAACAGAATGATTACAACATGACGAGATCTTGTTCGTTAGTTCAAGTTACATCGACACTATTTTTCTTAAAATAGTAACTACAAAATTCACAAATTTCACTTTTTTTCATTATAAGAACAGAAAACATTAAAAATATCCATAAATGAAATCAGATAAAAATGCAAAGAAAAAGAAATGACATTAAATTGGACAGGCTTATTCAATATTTTAATAATGAACAAAACAATACAATTGATTAAGCCATAAATAGTAATGGTAATTAATGTTCATAATATGAAAATGAAATAACATAGTACTGAATAGAATATTTTAAAAAAAAAAACTTACTTTCAGTTCATTGGTATGATTTAAACTTTGAAGTACAAGAACCAACATTGCCAAACTTTGAACATCATGTATACGAAGGAAATGTTGAATCCTATATATTGACAATGAATTTTGTTTTTTTTTAAGTGACAAAAATAATTTATGAAAATCACAACAACAACAAATAGAAACAACTGAAAATAAAAATAATTTGATTCACATAAGGAAATAGTAAGTTCTGATTATTGTCAGTAATCATAATTTTTTACAAAGTCAATTTCATTCTAAGAATCCATTTTACTTAATAAATCGATATTAGGTAATGATCAAAACGTTACAATACGAAAGAAATGACTATTGTCAATTAGTAGCTAATGAATAATATTTCACCGTTTAAGATGGTGAACTACAAGTTCAGGTTGGAGCAGAGTGAAAAGTGACATTATTAATTTTCAAATACAATTAGTCAATAAAGTATTTCACAACTGTGAATTTGTATGTCGTCAAAATATAATGTAGACCGAATTCATTCACTCATTAAGTCAGTCAGTCAGCTACAACGTAGGACCAGGCACATATGTGCATCGGTCCAAGTTGTCATACCTCATTAGCACAACATGATGAACACTGAATTCATAGTAGTCACTTCAATGGTGGTAATATATAAAAGAAAGATTGAATATAAGGACATTGTACAGGAAGAAAGAATTAGTTCGTAGAAAGAAAGATATGAAGCGATTTCAATCTCACGGTTTAAGGGAAGACAAAGAGTGTATACACATACGCCATTGTGATCGATTCCGAGCCATGTCATCCAGGGTCTTTAACTATTGGTTTCCTATAGTCACGCGGACCCCAACCAAGTAGTCTGCATCTACCAACATGACTCAGACTAGAAGTTAGTGACTTCAATGACTGATTCCACATTTTGGTTTGACCGCCCCTAACTATCCTCCAACCATCGTCAACACTAGTCAGCATTGTGTGTCGTGGTAATCGGTGTTCATTAACATAGACATAAAGGAAAAGATTGTATCATACGAGGAGATATGAAAAGAAATTAAGCGAAAAACTGTAGGACGGTATAATGAAGGTTTCAGTGATTAAATTGTCGAACAAATAGATATCAGGTCAAGTATTACATTACAAACAATATTATTACAAACTAAGTATGACCCTTTCAATGCTAAATTCTGGATCAGGATTAAAATAAAAATTCTTGATGGTAATCAATGTCTTGTGTTACTTATATGATAACTAACTAGCAACGACAAAATAATCGACTACTTAGAGAAAGCTTGTTACTGAATCAGCGACAGCAGTTCTATAATTTATCTTGATTGAGTTTAAGATAAGAAGAATTAGCTGGGTAGCTAGTGTTATGCTATTTGAATAATTATAGCTTTGATAGCAAACATAGTTTCGGAGTCAGGAATGCCTAGTAGGTCGACCAAAGAATCACAGTATATAAACTCTTTATTGACCGGCTGATAAAGGAAAACTAAGTTACTGAGGAAGAAAAATACTCACAAAAAAGTAGATTTCGAAACACGGGTCAATTTGAAATATTTAATTCAATGTTGATTAACTGCTCTTGTATGAATTACATGGCTTTTCTCTACCCTCAAAAAACGTTTTGCAAAACAAACTAACAGGTCTTTAAAACATTATGTTAAGATGAAGGTATACCCTTGTAGTAAACGAAAAATACAGGTGGGGAAAACCAATTTATTGCTTCATGCAAAATTACAGAATGCCTTCGTAAAATATGAAGACTATACATTAAGTACATTATTTATTCATCTTCCTTCAGTTGTTCTCTACATGCTTAATGATTCTTTCAATTCTCTTGTTATTACAGCTGCTCTCCGTTTCCTTTCCTGTTCTCCTCAATTCGATTTTCTAAATCTTCTGCTTCCAGGTATTCCACTTCCGAGTGGCGCTACTTAATGCCTATATTTGTTAATATAAGGAGAATACACCACACCCTGACTTAGTAACAGAATATTTTCATAGTAACACTTAGGTAGGATCAAGCACAAAAAATCGATTTGTCGGCTAAGTAACTTCAATATTTATTATATGCAACATCATAAAAGAGCTTCACAAAACCACTTATTTAAAAGAAAGTCCTTCAATTTGTTTCATAGTTCTTTTAGGTCTTTCGTCTGTATTTCGAAACAAAATTTGCAAAAAATACGAGATGATTCCACCTTATTAGCTTTTATGTTTGAATAAGTTACTGAAAGTGTTATCATAAAGAAGTTTGATTAGATTGAGAAATGGTCCATTTTCTTTTATGACAACTGTGTTTCTATAAGGCATAATTTCTAGTTTTTTCTTGATAATACATTTTTGTAAACACACTCTTATCAAAGCGATACATAATACTAACTCGTTAACAACTATGCCCATCGTGAGTATTCTTTAAAGAAATTTAATAAATGGGAATAATGATTCCTAGGTGTTATAATCTAAACCTTATTTACTACCAAAAGTAAGTATACACAGTTTTTATTCCTTTAACTTCAAGAGTGGCACACAACTATTGTTATTAGATATGGTTTTTAAGTCAGATATTTACTATATTTTAGATAATCACTAGAATCAATCAACTCATTTAATGTCCAATCTCTGCGTTGCTTTTCTTTAAAGATTAAAATCAGTAAACAAGGACTTTTCAAATTATCATAAAAATTTCCAAAAATCATTGAAAACTACTTACCATGTATCAAATAAAGGTCTTCCAATTAATTGTGAAGCTAACGGTTGATAAACTTGGTGAGAAAGATCTGTGTGACTAAGTGAAATTGACATAACTAGAGCATATTGCCAGAACTAAATGATGATAAAAACAAAGAAAATAGTAACATGCAAAGGGACAATCTATGTAAACAAGACAAATAAATACATAAACAAAAGAAATCCTTTGAGCGTATTCACATGGTGGCTATCAGTGAAATACAGAATGTGATCTCATCTTACGTGGGATTCATCAGCTAGATGTCCCATGTTATTGAGTGTTATTCACATGGAGACTATAATTTAACACCTGACTCTCCTTCAATTGGGTTTCAAATAGGATGAAACACGTGCTTTTGATTCCACTGTTAACCACAGTAAGAATACACTGAAAAACTATGGTCAATGACCAATATTGAGGCACTCGCTTATGGTAGATCTTTATGATTAAAGATTGATCATTCTTAGTCCTGAAAACACAAACTATCACTAAGAAAAATTTAATGTTTTAAGAAATAAAAAAAACGGGTGTTATTTTAAAGGCAATACCTTTACTTATTAAAAATTTACTAACAATTAAGTATATCCGCAGTCTGTATTCGTTAGAGATTGATTTCAGTTGTGTTACCATCAAAAAATCATATAGCGCTGGACAGCTGTTTCATCCTAGTAAAGGACATCTCAGAACTGAGCAAGCACGAACCCTCCATGTATCGTACCTAGAACGACGAGGCATTGAGACATATGATTAACAGTTAGAACGATTGCGTAGACATCCAATGGTACAATTCTAACGCCAGTGAATTCGCGATTTAGTGCGATGATCAACCAATGGTGTTGGTGGCAACTGTCTTATTTCCAACATGTATGAATTCTACTACTCACGATTATTAATTAGAATTTCAAGAGCATTTTGAAGTAAGTTATTAATTAGCAGAATATGATAACCTAGTTAAAAGTTTTAATCTGTAGTACTGGATGAACTTTGCGATATGTTCCAAACTGATTGTATTTGGAGTTGTGCCATTAGAAGTCAAGTAAGTGGTTTTAATGATTAAGAATTTGCCGGGAGATGTTTTGATCATGGATTTGATTCATGACGTGTCTGTGGTTGCCCATTGCTGAAGGCATCCATACTAGGACAAAACAATTATTCTGAGATGTAACGAATATAACTTACTAATTAGATTGATTTCCATAAAACATTTATCGATTTAAATACTACCTTAGTTATTTGTCTCATCGTAACAATTTATAGGATGATTAAGGACTACTTTAAATTATATCGTTGTACGTAAAATGGATAAATAAAGTTAGACCTAGTAAACATATTGATAAGTTAAATTTATCTTAGAACTCAGGGAATAACTTAGCATGGCACAAGCCATCTAAAACTAGAATCTACAACACTTCGCTTTAAACACAAAGTTTTGCTAACTAGATTATGAAGTTGCAAATGTTCTATGTTTTATATAATCAACGGTAGTATTGAAACGGTTGTAAACGAAAGTAAAATATCACAGATTACTAATCAATTCAGTGTTATGAATCTCCGATTGAATGTTTATTTGAAGGAGATATTAGGATTTCTAGTTAAAAACTACAACTTCAACGTTATAATCAGAAAATTAAAGTCTCACTGATAATGATATTAAAACCTCTACTACATTAAGAAATAAACATAATCGAAATTAAAAGATATCGAGCTAACAAACACACCAAGTCCTCATAATGTTTTTTTTATCCAATTGAAGAGGTAAATAAGAGGAAAATATAAACATAAGTTTTATATTTGTTATCAATCATTAACGAAAATGTAATCTAATTGTTAACAAAACTCTTTCGATCTATGACATTTGGGTTTATGTTGTACAGCACCGCTTCAATGACAAAAGTTATATTCAAACACAGAATAAAACATTTTAAAAGATGTTTCCAAGTTAAAAAAATCAATTGTCGGATAACAATCTCAATATTGCTTGTTCAGTAGCCGTGGAATAGCTCTCAAGATTAGAGAGCAAAGTAGAGTAACAATTTAGTAAAGAAATAGAGAACAGATTTACAGTTTATGGACAGTGTGAAAAAATTTATTTAAGGAACGAACACATAAACATGTATAAAATGAACAGGAAGTCTTTCATTAAACATAGAAAAATATAATAAGATCAAGAACAGACTGTATGCCATAAGTAATACAAAATAAATAAATATGTGCTTACTCGAATAAGATCCTTTCGATGAGTATTATAAACTGCATGAAGATTGTGAATGCACATCTGTTGTAGATTTTTGGTGTTTAAGCTATATATATATATATATATATATATATATATATATATATATATATATATATATATATATATATATTTGAAAGCCAAGAGAAGTAAATGAATTATCATAGATTTATTAAAATAATAATTATGAAAAAATACTTTGCAAGTATATTTTCTGTATAAAATTATAAAGCGGAAAGACAAGCTTTGAAATCAGTTACATTGGAGTAGATGAGTTTATTCTTTAACTAAATCTTAAGCTTAAGTGTTATTTCATGTATAGTGAACTTTGATTTCACTTTTTCTATGCTTATGTCTTTTAGATTATTAATAGTATTGATATTTCGACTAACTTGCTGTTCATACCTTGATGACTTCCTCTTAGTGTAGTAGAGTGAAGTATGAGTACTTGAACTGATGTACATTTATACCACGTCCGATGTTGATTGATTATAAAGATAAATCTTTTTAAATAATGTTAGAACAAATCAAAAGAAATTTTACAAAACGCTCAATTATTTGAGAATGGATGTTACAATTTTTACATTAAATATTGAGTTGAAGAATACAGACATAATTTAAGGTATTTGTTATAGACTAGTACAAACATATTACCTTACATAATATCAACGCTTCATTACTAACGTTTTGGTCAAACATTTTTGTTAAATAGGGAAAACTGTAAATAGCAATTGTAAGTATAGAACATTCAAGTATTTTATTCAGATGTTTTAAGAGATAAGTTCGGTTTTACACATGACTCAATTTTGGATTACTCAATTTAATTGTTTTAAACACTTATAAGTGCTTTATAGTATAATAAATAATGAAAATGAACGTATGTTCATCCGATAAGAATAATGGTAATGATAAGTTAAACAATTAACAGGCAATATTTTCCGACACAAACTAATTCATCAAGTCATATTATGGTTTTCATAATAGCAAAATTCTGAAAAGAAAAGATTCATGTCATAGGGAATAATAAACGAGTCTCGAATAGAAATAATTTATTATAACTATAAGAAGAATTTGGGAAAAGTATATCAAACAAGATATGTTTAAATATAAACTTACGAACCTGTAATTATACATTAAATGCCGATCCCAAATTAAAGGGCTCATGTCATAAATTTGAATAGTAGATGGATCTGTAAAATGAACATAATTAAAATTTTGAAGATTTACTCGAGGATAAGTGTGAAGAAAAAATTAAGAGAAATTTTATCATGAATTTGTTCACAAATCGATAAGAAAAAACCATGTTATTACACTTATCAGTACATACAGTTAGGCAAAAAGAATTTACTTGTGTGCAGTCACATTTGATTTATTCACTATTAAAAGTAACTTTATGTTACTTTGTTTGCAATGGAAACATTAAGAGCATATATTCCACAAAAGGGATGAATTAACCTTCGTTATGCCAGGTGAAAAATTGCAAAAGAGAAGCCTGATGAGACGTTTTAGAGCTACAAGGATATGCTTACATAATACTAAAAACAAAGAAGGAAACTTTATACATAATGTGATAACTTAAGGTCACCCACAAAGTTTTTCAGGGAAGCATGTGTATACAATTAACAGTTAGTCAGACACAGATTGTTCTACAGAAACCTGTTTACTGTAAAGCTACAATTAAATGAAGACATAACTAGCACTGTTTTATACAATAGACTAACTAGAACTGTGAATAAGACTTTTTATTCAGCTGTTTGTTGTTCACAGCTTCCTAATCGACCACTGGTGATTTGTGGTACCACTGTCTCTATCGCACTAAATGTCTTTACCATTTGTTTGTTTATGTTTACCTTTTTCATATATCTCCTTTACTATTTAAATACTTAAATCGATAATTCACATGGTTCTTCTGAAGCAATTCTTTCAGGACCAGAGTTTTAACAAGTTTATTCTTGCAAGTTTGTACATATTTTCGAAATAATTATTTACGTTATGTTACCGTTTAATGTACTTAGAATTAATACAATACCTATCAACTTACTTTCAATTTATACTTTTCACTTATTATTACTGGTTATGCAATCTGCTTCTCAATGACTCAAGTAACCCCATGATTGCTTTATTATTTCTTATATAGACATATAAATATTGCTGTATATTAGACTAGTGCGTTATGAAGATTTGGTTGAAAACAAGATTATTTACTTATATGTATTGTTTCAGTAAGAAGCAAAGAAAGGAAGTATCTACTACTTATATTCTTTATCGATAATAGATCTTGATTGATTTGATGTTTCTTTCAAGCATAAACTAGTTATTCAAACCTATTCGCGTTGTACGTGTACGCAGAACTAAAATGAGTGTACATTCAAAATAAGGAGGTCAGAATATACTACACTACATCTTATTCAGTGCTTGTTTTTATTAAAAAAGATAGTTAAAAAGCACTATCTTTTTGAACACTTTTCTTAAGATAACCAAAATAAAATATCATTTCTTCCCCTATCCGTTAGGATAACTAAATAGAGATTATGAACCAAGTAATTTATTCCTTTACAAATGGCAGAAATAATTGATTGATAAACTCAACTAGAAATGTTTGTGCGTTAAACATATTGATAATTTAAGTTCTTGTGTGTAATGAAAGTTGTTTAATATATGCATGTCTAGTAATGAAGAATCAATGTTTAATATACAACTTTCACTAAATATTTTATAAAGTGAATGCTACATGACAACTCATACTATTTTACATAAAAATTAGGATTTTTATTCAGTGCATAATATATATTCAGTCAGTTGGAAAGTGATCCCATCCAATTCTGACTTCTATCAAGGTGGAAATTTATGATAAATCAATAGTTCGGTCATACCACTCATAAAATAGTTGATTTTTCAAAAGTTGCGTAATGATCTCAAAGTTAATGAAATAAATTTAGATAACAAAAGTTAGGGATAATCGACTATTTGACGAATAGGAAGAGAGTAAAAAAGAAGAAAAGAGAAATTAGAAAATGATAATTATTATTCATTAATAAGTATAAAACAATGAAAGACAATAATAACAATTGACTATTATGTAAAATAAGAATGAAAGATAAGATAGGTTACTTCTGTGAATAGAATTCAGGTCTTAGTTGCTTTAATTCTTAATCAACTTATTCCTAGGTTCCATGTAGTTTTATTCTACTGTAATAATATACACAAATGTAATGAGTTAAATATATCAAGAAATCTATACAAATGTAATCAATGACTGAATACTTCTAGGATAAATAATTACTGACAAGTAAGTGAATAAAAATCAATTGAACTTACAATTATAGAAAATAATTAATATAAAATGATACAGGAAATATTTTTGCTTATGATAACATAAAAACACATTACAACTATTACATATTTCTCCATATCAGTAATTTTGATAATACAATATGAAGGCGGTATAAATATGACTAAAATAAGTCGTCATTATTTAAGATAAATAATGTCAATATCGGATATATATATATATATCCCTAGTTGTCGGCAAAGCTAACTTGTTAATCAGATATCATAGTAATAATAACAGCAACTATAAAATCGTATCAATTTTCATTCACTTAAATATCTAATTCATAATTTTTATCATGATACACACCTACTTGAATACTCGTATATATGTATATATACAAAAGCAAATGTAAACTCTTATAGGAATAGTGCATAAAATTATTTTACAAGAAACTTCATTTAAAAATCCTATATTTTATTATCAGTAAAACAGAGTAAATTTACAACAACAACAACAACAACAGAGAGTAGCGTTGATGAGTAAAATGAAACGAAAATATAAACTGATATGCTACTGTTAAGGTAAACTTTAAAATTAATATAAAACGTGCATATACACATTAGTCAATGGAGTAACTATAACTGCTTTTCTTTTTAAAATGGATAGATATTTTCTTCGATTTTCATATGTCAACTGTGATATGTATATGAAGTGAAGAAAAACAAGATAATAATATAAACATGACTTACAAATCATACTGAAGTGACTGAAGAACATTTCATTTGGATTCTGGACATCAGGAGAGTTGGGATGTGTTGTTGAAATGGGATTGAACCATTTTTGTTCCGTCACACGAGCAGACTCAAAAGAATTCTTTTATAACAAATAAAAATAGATAACAACGTTTTATGCAAAACAAGGTGGTAGACTAAACTGGTTTATTTTAATAAACATTAGAAGCTTATTTGATTAGTTATGACCTGTTCACAATAAAATCCACAATTCTTTTGATTGAATATGAAGTGGTTGGAATCAAGTTAACGTATGTTTCAAACTTCTTTCATGTTGAGAATGGTCAGATTTCCTAAAACAAACTGTAACGCTAGCAGTCAATCTTAGTGTTTTTCCGCCTAACTTTTTAAATTCTGTGTCTTTCTTTCTTATTTTAGTCAAATATGTTTAATTAGCCATTTCTTGTTCTAATGAAATATACTTTTTTAAACACGCTGGAAATACATGATAACTATCTGGAAAACTAATGATTATTATTATTAAAGTAACACATTACAACGAATTTTATCCGACATAACTGAGGAATTGAAATCTCCGAAAGTTGAAATTTCTCACATCAATCATTCTGTAATATACTCCAAAACGTAATAAATAAATGATAAATGAAGTGTTATATAATACACGCAGTCGACTGTGCCAAAACATTACAAAATGGTTAACAAGTAACAACAAAATTGTTATTTCATTTAATGAATTATTGAGTTTCATAAGAAAAGTAATAATATAACATATAACCTAGATTTACCTTTACTTCAGCATCATTAGCTGTTAAATTAATTGAATTTTGATTAAGTTCTACATTCATTTTAAAAGATAATCTATTTTTGTCAATTAATTCATTGATCCTTTTCTGTTTTTCATGAGGTTGATTCTGTTGTCGTTGTTGTTCTTTGCAATCTACCTCAAATCTAGCAAATGAATCAATTATATTTCCAATACAACTCTGAAATGACCTTTTCATATCATTATTATATTCACGATTTGTTGATGAAAATCGTTGGATAAATGTTTGATATTCACTAAATGATTGTGGTGTCCAATCTTTTTTTATGTCATTATTATCATTATTATTATTTGTTAACTCTACTTGACATTTATCATCTGATGAAGTTAATTTTAATGAATTACGTATAAATGACAAAGATTCTGGTAGACCAAATGTTACAATTAGACCATTCGTGGTAAAATGAACACCAGATGTTCTTGGGAAAGGAATACCTATTGTATAATGACATTTTTGTTTCATTGAAGCTGTTGTATCAATAATTGGTTTGTTCAATGTATCCATATTAACATTAAGCATATCATAATTAGTAGCAGATAAATTTGTTGAGTTTAATTTCTTAGAATTGTTTTCTATCTACAATAAGATCAAAAGGGAAAAAACGAACCAAAAGTAAAACTGTGAGAGAGTTGTTTTATTTTTCAAAAAAGAGATGAATGGTAAAGTCTGCTAAGTATGATATTTAACAGAAACAAATAACAAATTAAAAATAATAGTTTTGAATTGGAATAAGTCTCGACTTAACTATATATATGAACCTAAAAATACAAGAAAAAAACATTTTATTTGAAAAATCATATGAGCTTTTGGTCTGTGAGATGAGATACGACTCTTACTTGAACCAACAACGTGTTAACGGAAAACATGTTTCCTCTTCTTCGATGATTAATTATAAAAAGTCCCTGAAAATTGGGACAAAACAAATAACACTGAAAATTTGTTTGCTCGTCTGACAAAAATAATTATTACAGTGAGTAATAAGCGGGTACATCTACGACAATCTGTTATGTCCCGATAAGAATAATGAATGGTAACTTTTGGGATCCATTTAAGGACCAATACTATATGTATATTTTTATCCTATAATTGTTAAATAACTAAACTATTCATATTCATGTCCCTCTTATGATGAGCTTTATTTTGACCTATGAACTATTGTTATACAAACTACCATTCTTGAATTATGCCCTGTCTATTAATTACTACCTCCCTCATTTACAGCCACATTTGGCTAATTCTTGTACAAATGTTGTTTCATGTTTTATGGTACGATGTGGTCTGTCTGGTTGATATATAAACCCAGTATGCTTGGAAATAAATGATTCATATCGCAGAGGTTGAGATTGGTGTTCTGGACATGAGTGGCTGGGCTAGGTGGAAAGCAGGACCGATAAGGACTCTAGATTGCTCGTACAGGTTTTACGCTTCACTGGTCCGATTGATAATTCAGTGCGCTCTAATTGGCGGTATCGCTACGTTGTACAATAAACAGAGAACACAGGTCACAAGTTATAACACAATCAAGATCTGAAAATGAGGATTTTACGTAACCATGTGGTTTGATCAACCAATTTAAATAGGATTTTCTGGAAACATAAAACTCACCATCACAAAAAATGATTGCTGTAATTCAAATGAACAGTCTTAATTATCATCTCAAGCTAAATATCTCTATCACTCATGACATATTTCAATGTATCACAAACTCAGTGGTTGAATAGAGCAACTTGTTTCCAATGCGTAGAAAAGTTTAATTCCATGGGACGAATACGGTGCGCTTTGACAGTAGCTGAGTAACTTTGTTTGATATGAATACATATTAGAAGTTATAACTCATCATGTCGATAACATAATGAAATACAAAATGGTAATGAGTCAATTATATCCAAAACTAAATTCTTAAATTCTCCACAGATACAATACAATATAGGGAAGATATAAATAAAGGATACCTACTTGATTACTTAACGTAGGATATGTTTGTAAGGTGATCACAGCATTTCTTATACATGGTTCAACACAACCACGTGAGGTGGACACTAGTTCAGATGCAGTTGAATATAAAACCTGGTAATAAAAAAAAATAACACACCTACTAATAGATTTTTAAAAATACACCAACAGAAACGAGATAAAACTTGAAAATATCTTATTTTGAGGACGATAAAACACAATTCACATTTTTCATAAATGAATTACTTTCTCATAGTAATTAACATTTTGATGATAGTTGATTTTAGTAAGCCATCAGAGTTAAGCGAATCACATAAAACTACCTCTAATTTCCAGTGATAGAATAAAGAAATTTGGACTTAGACAAGTACTGAGAAAACTTTAAAAATCTTAGCAACTACGTAATGATAAATAGTGGTATATGGCTATTAAAATGAAGCTCGGACAATGATAGAAAATTCAAACTAATCAGTGTTGAAGGAAAGGTGCTCCACCACAAGATATTTTTCTTATTATAAAGGAATCTGTCTAAAAATTCTAAAGATAAAACATAGAATGTCAAGTGATTACCTACTGAATATGTTGATTGTTTGAATTACCACAATTAATGAACATTTGAATGCCATATTATGTAAATCACCGCTACATTCTCTCTCCCTATATATATATATAACTATCATTATTGATAGGAATGAAGTTAAACGAACTAGATATGTGAACACTATTTTGAAGAAAAATTGCGACGAAATTTTTCCGCGATAGTTTAGTTTCAATCTTTTCTCTTTAAACAATTTCGACCGATATTTCTAAACATGTAGGACAAACAGTTTAGTTTTTTTGTATTGTTTCACTGATTTTCATGTTCGGAAAAAAAAACTTTATATTTTGAAATGAAATGTTAATAATGTGAGATGTTTCTTAGTTACAAGTTGGAACTGTTTACTTTAGATCACTTAGATAAATATTTAGGAGAATGAGATGAAATTCTGGTCAGTATAAATGTATACAAACAAGCAAAAGTATAAAGAAACAAGAAATATATACTAAGAACATCATTTATAACTATTTATTTATAACTAACATTAGGTATATAAATATTATAGAAATATACATTATATTAAATGAGAAAAATTAACAAACTAATATTATTGAACTTTAGTACAACTTATATAAGCGATCGGACCGTTGTTGCTACCTTTCTATCTTGCTATTTTTCTATATTCTAAATCTTTCTTCTTGTACTATATCCTTATATGCAATCTTTGTTTTATATATTACTGCCAATGACTTAACCACTCCTATTAATCCTGTGTTCATCTTGCTGTGCTGATGAGGTATGACAACTTGGACCGATGCATATATGTACCTGGTCCTACGTTGTAGCTGACTGACCGACTGACATATAAGCGAACAATATTGTTTTCGATTAGATCCTCATCAGGCTTTACTCTAATATACAGTAATATCAATGTGCATATACGAAATTAGTAAACTAATCAAGGTAGTTTATGAGTCAATGATAACAATAATAATAAGTGAAACGTACAAATTGTTTGTGGGATGACAGGTGTACTAGTGTTTGATAAGAATAATAAAGGCTTAAATCAATGTTACATAATTGGAAATAGGTCAATGATTAGAAAAATATACAATGAGATAACATTTATAAAAATTATAAGATTATTGAACTGTGTAGAAAAGAAAACAATGATATTCACATAGTGAACAGATAGTCTCTTACAATTTTAATTTACAAAAAAGTAAATCATTTAAATTCCTGTAAAGTTGAAACATTTTTTAGTCTTTCAGGTTTAAACTTAATATGACAATTATTACTTACGGATGTTTAACTGTTGTAACATTGGAATTAAATGATTTTATTTTTCAACTAATTGGTTGCAGGTTCAAATTTCATTACATTTACTTTAGTTTAAGTAGACGAATAGTATTAGTAACTCATATAACCTGAATTATATCACGAAATCCAGTGTACAAAAATGTACTTCATTAATAAAGTAATCACAGAAATATGGTAATTGTTGTTTCGATTGTCGATGTGAGTTTCGTCTTCCGCTAAATATATATTACATATCGATGAATATTTATTTTATCCATTGGGAATTAAAGCAAATATTTTGTTATAACAAACAACAACCATCACAATTTATTAGTAACAAACGTTAATCAATGTGTTGAGTGGTTTCAAACTATACCTGTTTGGTTTCAATTTAAATGTAAGCATACAATCAATAACTAATATTTGTGCACGATTAGCTGTGTGCCACAAAAATTAAATAAAAATATACATTCCAGAAAACACCGCTAACAGTAATCGAAAATACTACAACAATATCACTAAGACAATCTTTAAAAGAAACTAGGAGAGAGAGAAACAGAGAGGATTAGTAAGAAAAAAACTTACATTTCTTAATTCATCTAATACTTCTGGAGGTAAGGATGGACTGCAATCAAGAACATGAAATTCTGGTATAGCTCCATTTAATGGATAATTATCAGGGAATTCTATACTTAATATAATTGACCCAGCTAATGGCATTTCATAGTTATGTGTATTGTCAGTCGTCGAATTTTCTAATTCATGACTATTATCAAATGTTAAAGTAAATGAATGATTTGATGGATAATTTGTTAAATGGGTACTCTCTTCATTATCAACACTAACAGCACTATTACTAATGCTAGTGTGATTCGATATTGTACGTTCAGTATCAGTTGTTGACGATAAATTACGATGGTGTACTTTCCAAAAATTTGAATGTTCAGAAAATTCCATTTGTGAAATTAGATCAGTAGTTGAAGGTAATAGTAGACTATCAAGACCTTCATTATTCATTACAGAACTATGACGTCGTCTTCGAAGTGTATTAGTTACTGAACATAATGAATAATGATGATGATGATTACGACGACAGTAAAATAGAATTAATTTAGCAGTACGATTGATAAGATCCATTTCTTCTAACTTATACTACAGATACACAAATAAAAGATATAAACAACAATACAATTTAAGAACTACGAACTAATGGTTACAATAAAAGTTTGAGTTTAAAAAAAAGTGTTAACACGTTTCATAAATCCAAAATGATAAAGTCTCTTTTAATTTGCAAACATGAAATTTTTGCATAAATTTAATGAATTTCAAATTTCGTTGATCTGAAGTAACTAGTATTAAAAATTTGAGGGATATATGATGGAATTGAAGTCGTGTGAAACAAATAGATATTGATATTTAATGCGAGTGTACAGTTAAAAATGATTATGACAGATATAGTTAATCAAAGCAACTGTATTACTGCAATTGATTTTAATTACTGTAGTTCCAAGTTTCAAAACAAAAAAACTATAATTTTATGGATGGTATACAACATAGATTAATGAAAATACTTCTTCCTTATAGTGTCAACACTACTGGAAAATTAACATTTTCCTAAAACTTAGAAACTATGTTACACAGTTGCCATGTATAAATAACCGTGAAAACAACAAATAATTATGTCATTAGTTATTCTTTAATATGTTACAACCAGTTATTAGCTATCGCTATTTTGCATTATAATCAATGTGATTGAGTTTAAGTTATTAAAACTAGTTTGATTTTTTAATTTCGGTTAGCGTTTTTTAGCAATTTTGTTTTCTACGGGATGAGGATGCTGACCTCATGGCCGGCGGTGGACCTAGAAAAACTATAGGCGCCGAGAATTGAAAGCAGACATCAACAGTAGCTACCAGAAAACATTCCCCAGGACAGAGTTCAACAGAGAATGATGATGAGTGGCCAATGCTCTTCCACAAAGGGGTAACAGGGGTAGGTAAATAAAACTAGTTTAACAAGCTAATATAATTTTAGAAAATATATTCACGTGGTATTACGGTAAAGATAGGGTTGCAGACGTTACATATACATATTACAAAAATGTAATTTTCAGAAAAAGATAAATTTTTAAAAGTACCAAACATCGTAATTTCAATAATAATCATTATTTCAAAATGCTAAAACATAACTGGATTACTTTTATTCAATTTTCACTTTTTTTCTAACCAAATGTCGTTTAATTAAATTTATCATAAGAATTTATGGAAATATACCTTTTAAAAGCGGTAGGCGGAAAATTTTCACTGTCTACTAAACGCATTTGCAATATTAAAAGGAACGTTTTACAAGACATGAATGTCAATTTTTATGTTTTTAGTTGCTACGCTGAATAGTATATTATTATATATGTATTATATCAACTATGGAGACATGCACACTGATAAATTATATTTCATCTAACAATGTAAATTTTCTTTTAAAAAATACTCTGTGTATTATCGATATGCTTGAATAATTTACAGTGTATAATAAATAAATTTAAACCGTTATTACTCAATACATCCTGATCATTTGATAAATTTTAATAAGGTGAGAACAAAAAGATATTCAGAATAAAATGAATTCATTATAATTTCAGGCTTTTCATCAGTTATAAAAGGCCATTATTTTTATTGATATAAAGTGTATGATAATGGACTTATTTGTGGAGCTGACACTTAGTGATTTCAGCTAATAAATCAAAGGACGTGAAACATTGAAGCAGCTACTGAAGTAAAAAAAAGTAAGGTTTAACACATTGATTACCTATAAACTAGTACATAATCCTGTATATGGTTGCTAAGTTACAATTTTGTCCTCAATTGGCATAGATATCCCATTGAAGGGAAGGATCTGAACAAAATGTATAACATTATTCATGCTACTACTACTAATGATTATAACACAACAATATGATAGGGGCGGATTACTGAAACTGTAGAATAACTAATGTTACAGTTGGTATAATAATCATAATAATAACAGCAGTAATAGTAATAAAGTAGAAATATTAATCCATTTACTTTCTACTTAATAATAAATAAATGGTAACAACAACAAATGAAAAAATTGACATTTCAAAATGTATATTAATAACATCGATAAAATATCATGACTGGGATTTATATATCATGTGTAATGCTAATTATTATAATTATTTTTATTATACTGTTTCTTTCCTCCTCTCTTTTGAATACTGACAATGAAATATCACAAATTTTATGACTAAAACACATAGGAAACGACAAACAACAAACAATGTAGGAAATGCTTTAGTGTAGAGAATGAATTCACCAGAATTCACATCTGTACACCGACCTTGATATAGGGCAGTTGAAGGTAGCCATCAAGAAACTCTGATCTCACTTTGGTACTGGTTAGTACATTTCACTAAGGCATACCTGTAATCTTAAGAGAACTGATTGTTCTTCCTAGTGGATTCAAATTCGAGTAACCAAGTTTCAGTCTAAAAGGTTATTATCGAAATATTTTAATCAAAACTGAATAGCTGTTGGACAAATATTTGCATTGACTGATTACTACGTAGCGGTTACGTGAGAATACTATTGAACTAGTCAAGGATAACATTTGCCATCGTACACATACGGACTTTGATATCGTACATTTTTCTAGCTGTCCTTACTCAGAAGGGCATTCGCAAATACAAAATGTTGTATGAACATCGTATTAGCATCTATTGTTTTACTATTTGTAGATTATTGCAAAATTACTGCACGTGGCAATTAAACATTGTTTAAATTCCTAAACAGTGAACAAGTGAAAACATAGAAAAGAATATCACTGCAGACATTCGCTATGAACAAGCTGCTAACCGTGTTATCCAAGAAATCTGTCCATACAATAATAGCTCATATGAAGAACGGGACAACAAGTTAATCGAGTTCCTCACAAATAACTCTTCATATATACCATAGATAATAGGCACCTCATCAACGGAAGGATAGATTAATTATCATTGACTTTGTCCTACATTTTTCACTCCAGTCATCTGATGCATTTATTTCAACGAATTAATATCATTTATCATTTTTCTGTAAGATTTTACAACTGAAAACACCGTATAAATCAGGGACTGCATCTGACTACATCAGTTACAACTATACAACATGATGACATTTTTTAATTTTTTCAACAACACACAGAAGTGTATCTATTAAATTAAGAAATTAACATTTGTAATGGTTAGATTTGACATTATAATTCCATATAAAAACCAACAAAATTTTAATTTTTATCATTATTAGTTGCACCAACTAAAACATTTGTTCAATGTTCATAATCTTTTAATCATATTTTTAAATACTGTTTAACGGAACGAGTCATTCGTATAAAATCTGAAGTGTAAAATATTTGTGAATTTATCTTGTGAAAAGTATAGCAATGATACGGATTAGATTTAAAGAATATATCAAGTGATAAATGTAAACTTACTTGTCCAGCTCTATGGCTTAAAAGAGATAATTCTTGAGCGAGAAATTGAAATGCGCTATCTTCCTGATTTCCACCTACAACACCAAGAAAATAATATATATACATAATTACATAAATCATTATTATACTTTTCAGAAAGCTTTCAAACGATTGTAATAGTTCCAGCAATCAATTTGGTTAAAAAAAATTAGAGACTTAGTGATGTTTGAGCCAATGTTCAACAAGGAAAAGCAATAAATATGTTGGTTTGTTGCAATCAGTCATAAATAACTCGTCTGTCTCATTACTAACCTAACAAATAAATGCTATTCAGGTGACGCCAACGGTATGATCTCTGAAAAACGGCTTTCTGAAGGAACTCACACTAATTTATTCAGACACATATTTCGACGGTGTTCATAAAACATTTAAATAGTACAATAATGTATTTTTTAGTGAATGTAAAACATATATATAAATCTGCTTAGAGCCCTGTTAGAGTTAATACCGGGCCGAAGCCCTGATAAAGGAGGTTTAAGGAAGAGATTGACAACTCCATCCCGTAGAAAGAAACCTTGCTTAAAAGCGCAATTACCTCTATATATCAGGAGGTTTTGTACATGACCTAATGAAATTTCGGTGCGATTTAGTGACTAAGTACAGATAAAGTTTTGAGACATATTTATTTGAAAGATAGTAGCACTACAAGAGTTCCAAACGGAAGTGAAACGGTAGTCGAAGTGGTTGAATTTAGAGTGCTTTAACCATAAATTCACTACTTTTGGGAATTATTAGCACCATGGTACAGAAAATGAGCATTGTGAGATTATACTACTTCTACAGTTAATATTAACAATAACTATAATTATAGTGATAATAATAATAATAGCGATAATGATAGTGAGAATCTACAAACAGCATTTATTTTAGGAGTATAACAGAGAATTTACTTTACTGACAAATTTGAGCGGGAAAAACAATATATATAATCGTCAAAATTAGTTCAAGAATGCAATGAGAAAATCAGTTTGAACAGACCCAACAAACATAATTAGTATTGAAGATACTTATAAAATTTATTTTTCATAATACAAATATACGTTGAAGAATTAGCATCATAGCATACATTTAGGATCTGCATTCAATCCACTTTTCGAAATAGATAAACATGATTTGGAGACAGAAGAACGTTGGCCAAAATCTTCACCACGATGTTGCGGGTCAACAGCCTGCTTTTTTCAACAAAAAAGAAAGTGATCTAAATAAAACTACTCAAATTGAGATTGATAAACGTCAAACTGTAAGGAACTTTAAATTGCGTATACCATTCAAGATGTACTTGAGTTTAATAAAATTCGCGACAACTAAGCATTCACTAGTTGTGAAGTGGCACCGGTCAATATATGGATAGAGATGGAAGATCCGTGTTTCATCGTAAAATAGCTAGTTCTTTCACACAAACACATTTCTGGAAACCAAATAATTTAAACTATAAAACATTAGTGAATGGGAGCAAACAAGCTTAAAATAAATCTGTGTTCTAATGGATCACATTCCTCGGTGGGCTAAGTAAGTTAGGCTTTTAGCTAAAAATGGTTGCATTCATGCTTGGTGTTAACATGAATTAGTCAGTCATAACCAATGTAGTATCTGTCATAAATTTGAGTCAGTAAACCTTTTCATATCATATTATCTATCCAAGATGGAATTATCAAGACAAATAGCAAAAGTTAAGAGAGCAATAGTATCCACTGATGGCTTTTTTCGACAACATATTTCTACTTCAGTTAGCATTGTAAATTGAGGTAGGAGGTGGTTAGGCATATGCGACAAATCTCCAACTCTCATGATCAATAAAAAATTCACAGATTAATTAACCGATTCAAAATATTTGCTTAATGTTATTGTAAGTTTAACCTTACAATCGGTCAGCCTATTATTCTATTGCATACGACCAACAGGACAAAGACACTAATATTAAAACATTTTACATGTATTCCCAGTAAAAAATTTCAAAAAGGCTGGAATATTACAAACAGGAAATTAATCTTTGGTAGGATTGTAACCGAAATGATTAACAAACACGTCAACTCTGTTGAAATATCTTAGCATACATTTAAAAAAGATCTATTATGAAAAGAATATTAAATCTTGGATAAAGTTTTCCTAACTTCTTAATAAAACGGTAAGTCATTCAACTAATAACAATGTGAGATCTGGTACAAATGTGGATCCGTTCAAGCTAAAATACTTTTTATAAGTAAAACAAGAGATTATCAGCAACCTGAGAAGTAAAAAGATAAGAAATTGTAATATTAGAATTTTGGTAATGAACAAATAAGATTTAAAATGAAATATAAAAACTGACCTGGTCACGCTTATCTCACAGTGCGAAGGCTGAGTTAACAAATACACAACTACAGAAACATTAGTATGATTCATTAGTATAAGTTTACTTTCCAAAAACTGTAACGGTGGTCTTAAAGAGTCAAAAACTAATTTATTAACCGAAAGGAAAGAGATCTAAATGACTGTATAAAGTAATAAGGATATTCGTTTTATACTCCATAGTGAATAAATTGATTAAGATTAGCTGAATTATAATTTCCCGTGTTATTTAAATAAAATAATTTACTACTGACAACCTATGATGTCACTATATTCTACTGGTTAAATACACAGTGTGGAAAATATGCCTTGCATTTGAACTTCCAGATGTTTATCAGGAGTTTTGTGGAGAATTTAGTAATTTCAATAGTTGAAATCATGAGTCAATTGAAGCTAGACCACCATGGAAAACCTAGAAGCACTAAACGGGATCGTGGATGCGCACTGCTGAGGAGTCCCATACTAGGATGAAACGGCCGTCCAGTGCTTCCAGGTTTGCCATAGTGGTCTAGCTTCCTGATGTTTATCAATAATTGTCTTTGGAAAACATGATGTTTTGTTGAATAATATATAGTTAATTACATAATTATACAAGTAAACATAGATAACCTTTAGTTTATTTAAATTGTTTGTCGAAGCATTACCAAACTTCTTTGATTGATTTGTCTTTGGATTGAAATTCGTTGATAATTTATCATCTAGTAAATCTTCTGATTTTTCCTTTATTATTCTCGTTTGATTATTTGCTTGGTTTAGTAATGGTTCATTATCATGATGTGAAATTGATTTAAAATGAATTGGATAAACACGAAGTATATTATCCATTGACCAAGTAAGTAAATGTACATTTTCTAAGTATAAATATAAAAGAAACAAAATAAATTAAGCACATTTATTATTATTGTGTAAGACAAATAAATTCTGGTAAGTATTTTGATTCGGATTTGATTTTTTAAATTAGTAACCTACAACATACGATAAATGCTAAAAGTGAGTGCTGTAAATGAAGTACTTTGAAAGAGATGTAAGTTAATCAATTTAATTTAATAACAAACAAAACTATAAACCTGGTTTGAAATGGATTTCTAGAGTTTTAGTAAGAAATTGTAACTAGAGGGCAGTTTATTCATTTTAGAAATAAAAGTGTTTGTTATGTGATATTGTGAATTGGTTTGATGAAAAAATATGGATAACTGAATGTAAACTTATTTGTTTAAGTAAATTATGTTCATCATAAGATTTGAATGTCTTAAGTTTTACTGTAAATTGGTAATATTCATAGATGTGAGCTGATAGTGAAACACAACTGAAACGAAACAGCTTTTTCAAATGATATCAGTCAATAAAATGTAAATAATCTTTGTGAATTACAGAACCAAACAAAAATATAAACGTCATAAACAGGGAAGAGAATCAAAAGGAGTAAAATAATTTATATTGGGTATCAAAAGAAATAATGAGAAGAATTAAAATGCCTGGAGTTTGAAAGAAAACAACGGTAAAAATCAGAAGGGTAATAGTAAAGCGAAAAAAAAAGAAATAGTAACCCCATCAAAAACTATAATTGCAATGTAGCTACATGATTTGTTAAAAGGTATGGTTCTTTTTAAGTTGACATGATTCTTGTCACATATACATTTAGCTTGTCCTTATTTTCTGAATACTTTATGTACAGTTCTTTTTTATACTATGTGTAAAAATATATGTGTTTAAATAAATCGATTATCACTTGATTAATTGCATAGTGCTACATTAAGAAGCATCTCTCGAAAGATAAATATAAATATTTATGAAGTGAATGGTAATTAATTAACTATTATCTCTATAGTTAATCATATCTTTTAGAATGATTGTTACCTTGTTGCACTTTTTAAAAAATGCAACAATTAGAAAACAATTTAAAGTGATCCACTAAAACAATGAAAACTAATCAACTTAAAAAAACATCTACACTTTATTTGAAAGTAAATTGACTTTTGATAAATCAAAAAGAAAATACAAATCATCAAAATTTAATTATGTCGATGACATTTAGTTATTATAAATAAAATTTGAACTGAACTACTTGTTAGGAACAATTACAAACTACTTCTGATTATTAATGCTTTGTCTTGAATAATTGTTATTTAATGCCTTATTTCTTTTATTATTTGTAGTAATTAATCAGGTAACAGTTTGATAATCTATAATTTGAATTTAGTTATAATAATTGGACAATATTGCTCTGATTATTTATAACCATGATTTTAGATTTACCGGATTAAAACAAATTTTTATATATGAAACAAATAAAACTTTGAACAATAAAAAGAAACATTATTAAGTTTGATAATGGAACTTACAAATGAGTACTCAAGTGGAAATTGTCCACTACATTAAACATATGTAGCTGAATGAGGGTATAAAAACTAACCTTAGATGTTAAAGAACAATCGTTCACACCCTACCTATATTTTTGCCACATGAAAAAGTACATAGAGTTGAAGATAAATGAATTTCAGAAAATCATACAAAAGACTTTAGTGAAGGATTTTCAACCTACACTATAGCTGTGGAATTAATAAAATATTTTTATTCACCGGTAATGTCAAGTATACCACACAGTAAAGTATTCTATACCAATGTGTGACTGAGACATTATAGTTGAAGTTGAACCAATAAAGTTTACATTTACGAAATATTCTTTGGATTTGAGTGAATAACTAGTGTAATAAGAACATCCAATAGGAACTGGTAGTATTCTCACAGCCAAGAATGTTTTCGTGTGCAGTTGTAAATACACAAAGATTGAGTCAGGTGATATATGTTTTATATGCTTTTCTACACTCTAAATTTAAGTAATAAATAAAGCGGAATGGATCTATCATGGATAGACTTGCAGTGGGATGAAATTGTACTAGTTCACGAAATGAGTGGAACTGGAAAATGACCATTTTATTAGACGGAGTTAAACCAAAGGCATAAAGCGGTGTTTGTTGAAACAGCCAACCATTAAATAGGGGTGAATTCGTAATATTAAATGATAAAGTGGTTGAAACATTCGACTTTTAAACAGTAGGTCGAAGATTGAGAATACTTATTCAAGCAGTTCGGATTGGATAGCCGGATAGTACCGTTAGCCTTGACATCCAAAGCTCAAATAAAGCATAGTGTACAGGAATGTATACTAATGCAAAAAGTGTAATTTGATCATTGCTTAACATATATACATATCAGATAAATATATATATGATAACCTACAAAATAGATTTAAAAAGAAAATGAGATATTTCGTTCACACTAGATAACTGTAAACGATAAAAAAACTCTTAGAGTTAAAAATTTTCTATATTTTAATTAACATCAACCTTTTATTACTCTTTTAATTGACTATCAATAACTTGAAACGTTTTTCAGTGTTAAGACGAGAAAAACAAGGTACACATTAACCGTTAAATTGAGTAGAATAGTATAAATCACATAATATATTATTGCAGCATAGGGCCAAAATGATATATATATATATACTGTTAACTTAGTTTTATAAAAAACAAACGACATTTCACGACGTATAACAACATAACTGTTTATATTTCTAGACCCTATTTTTCATTTATTGCTTAAATTGTCAGTATAGGGGTTGTGGAGATTACTAAGTTTTTGATTGAGATCATGAACCGATTGATGTTAGACCACCATTGAAAACCTGGAAGCACTGGACGGCCGTTTCGTCCTATTCTGGAACTCCTCAGCAGTGCGCATCCACGATCCCGCTCGCGGGATTCGGCCTTCAGTCTCGCACGCGAACTCTTAACTTACTAGATGATTACACATATGCAGTGCATATTGGGTTACATTAAAGTTATGGGGAAAAACAGGTTTACCGTTTCCTTCATATGAACAGTTAAGAAAACAGTAACAATAAAACTACTATGAACACCATATTGGTAACATAAACAGAAGTAATAACAACAACAAAAGTTGATATAAAATGATTTATTTATTTATTGACGTACTTTTAGGACAATATTCTAAATTTTGATTTGTTGTCGATATTTCATTATCCAGAATAAAATTTGTCGTCAATTCATGATCATCTGTTGTTGTCAATGGTGAGAATGGAAGATTTGAAGAGGAGCATATCAACCAATTCATATCTAATATATATGAATCTGTAGAACGTGGTTGACAAATCTGCTGATCATTTATGGGACTATTATTATTATTACCATTATTATTATTGTTTGAATTCACTATACTATCAGCAGACGTTTTATTAACAGTAATTCCATTGTCATCAGTGTTACTATTATCATGGTTTTCTATTACTTGGAATAAATCATGAGATTGTGTCAAATTAGCACTAGACCACACAGATATTCCGTGAACTGACCAATGAGACTGCTCCGGTAAAATAATAATATGATCACCTGAAGGCTAGAAAAAAAATACATAGAAGTATACGTAGTAATAGTAACAACACAACAATAATCCTAATATGTATAATATAAATAAGAAAATTTATGAATAAAAGCTTGATAAGAAAGCGCTAACTCAGGGTAAAATAAAAAGATAGTGGAAACTATGCATAAAACAGCAGGTATTATTTATATTGTGTTAAACAAGAATGGTCCATTGTGAACATGTGATTTACAGATTTGTAGCTAGGTAGGAGCTATTATACTCGGTTTTGAACCAGGCTTTATTTGATCATTATTAAGTATAGCTGGATGTCAAAACTGAAGTGGTTGGATAGTGATTTAAAGCACTGCCTAAACGATTGACAATCCTGTATTTCAACCATCCAGCCATCGCACAACTAAGGGGTATCATATAAGCTTATATGGTTGATATTCACACAGTTGCAACAATCTCAAAAAAACTCTTTATAAAGAAGTGGTATAGTGAGTTTCTACAACTGTAAAGCAACAATAAATAACCATTTACGTAATCGCGAAGTTCTGAAAAGCTCTAATTTCATACTTCATGAATTCAATTGTAACCAATACTCCAGTTGTCTAAAATTAATTCGCATTCTTGAACTTTATAAGAAGTATTTGCTATAAATTCACTAGAGTTAGTATCAATCAAAACTAGGGAGAACTGGATCGATATTTCGTCTCAGAATTTATCAGTCATGTAATATCATTAGGCCTCATACAACAGATGTTCATCATAATCCACTGCAAGGAACTACAAACAATTCAGACGGCACATTAAGTAATTAGAAAATTATGAGCTTACAGTGTAAATTACTTTCTTCAGTTTTATTTCATGAAATCGAACCTTTTTCAGAGGATATGAAGGATTTTCAATATCCCATAGACGCATTTCAGAATATTCACTGACTGTCACCATTTGATTGACATTCTGAGGCGACCAATCGAAATCACGAACGTGATCAGCTTGTACAGAGATGTACTGTTCTGGAACATTAGACTGAATTTAAAATACATAGGAAAATGGTTACAAATAGTTAACAAACCGTTTAAATAATAAATTATTGTATAGAACATATTAACTGTATACAAACTAATCCTGTACATAGGTATTCAGGTATGGGACTTCAGGATAGGAGCCCAAAAAACGCTGAACAGGTTCAAGTTTTTACGCTTCAAAATAATGCAGAAGTAAAACCTAATGAAAAGCTAACAGGAACGATATCGGTTGTTAACGAAAAAGAAACCCATGATAATGGAATATACACGACTAAGAAAATGGAGAGTGAAAGTATTTATGTCACTAGGTATATTTTCGTTCAGTGAGACCCATAGTTTACAACCTATATTTTTCATAACTATTTTGTCATCCAGAGAACCTTAGCACGGAAATCTACGCCTTAACATACTATCCAGTCTAGGAATTAGTGGTGTTTTGGACTAACCAAAGTCATGTATGTTGAAGTAGATGGCGACTTGATACGTGTAACAAACAATCTCTACTTGTGTGGACTAACAACCTCACAGGTTGAATAAATCACCTGTCTTAAAACTTCGCACCAAGCCTCAACACTATTCAATCGATAAATCCACCACATACGAGAAATCCTTCAGAGACACCTACGATCTAGCAGCCAACAGATATATCAACACAGAAGAATTTTTAAAATGAGATTTAAATAAAGCATTTCTGACTATATTTACCCGCAAATCCCAAGTACGAACACCCGATGAGTGACAGGTTGCAAATTTTTCACTTGAAAATCTATTCCATTTGACAATAATTGGTGAAGCTGAGAATACAAACAGCAATAATTATCGAATTATCAAATTAACAAAATGTATCAAAATGTGCTAAACTTCATCGAAAAACATTCAGATGAAAGACAAAACGATCATTTCAACCTTGAACTCTTTATCAACGTGTGTACACGACTGAGTACATGATCAAATTCAGGACCTTGCTGTCTCGCGTTAAATGTAATACCTTTAGGCTGATTGTTAAAGATACAATGATCCGAATTTTCAACTTCCTTCAATTCGTAATACAAAGTGACTATAATTCAATGACACTTATGAACAATTGCTTTATTCATGTATTTGTTTAGTAGCAAATCTTGTAAGCGAAATTTATTTTAATTCATTTTTGTGTTGGTTGTTTAAATCTTTTCGTTGATGTTTAGAACTGAAATTGATCAGTCTCTTATTGGTATATGTGCATCCTGTGTGTATTGGCTCGGTTTTGCTTTAAATCATAAGCATTATAAGCAGAAATTCAAACAACTAATACAAAAATGGATTGAAAGTTCACCATATTGAACAAGCTAGGGGCTATCAGGATTCAGTAGCTAAGTGGATATTGCGATGCCCTTTGAAGTGAAAGGTATTGAGTTCGAGTCCGAGAGTGAACATCATCGCTGGAATGAAGGTACATACAGTTGATGTGTCTCAAATAGGACGAAGTGAGCGTCCTAGATTCCACTGTTAGCCATCATCCGTCTCTGCTTAGTAAACTATTTTGTTTATCGATTCCGTTTTATCTTATGACCCACATTCCAGAGAACAAAGAATTTTACAGAGTAGTCAACATAGTCAAATCACAATATTTTTATCTAAAATATCGATATATCTGAGTCTGCAAGCATGAACCACTCGTATGCTAATTTTCTAAATGACAATAAAATGGATAATAAATAGAACAATTAGAAATTATACAGATTACATGAATAGCTGCTTTCTCAGAAAAGTGATTTTATATATTTTTTAGTTATTCCTCTTATATAATGTCCAGTTAATGATATAATAAACTCCGCCTGGAGCCCCTTTCCGGGGGCTACTGCCGGTCCCAAGCCCGGATAAAGGAGGAGGGTTGGGCATGGGGTTAGCGACCCCATCCCGTAGAAAACTAACTCGCTAAAAAAACGCTAACCAGAAAAAATTATTCAAACCATTTAAACTCTGCCCTGGGAGTCAGAAGGTCTTCGTTTAGAAGAATTATGACGCCTCATGATGAAAGCCGAGTTTCTTCGGAAGTCACGAGGCCGATGCCCCTTCTGACAACCAGAGCAACCATTTATTTAGGTACATGGAATGCTCGCACAATGTGGGAGACTGGGAGAGTTTTCCAAATTGCTGCAGAAATGAGGAGATACAATTTAGAGGTGCTTGGGATCAGTGAAACACATTGGACGCAAGTTGGACAACAACGACTAGCTTCAGGGGAGCTGCTGTTATACTCCGGACATGAACAAGAAAATGCTCCACATACACAAGGAGTTGCATTGATGCTGTCCAAACAAGCACAAAATGCACTTATAGGATGGGAATCTCATGGACCAAGGATCATCATCTATCCGTAAGGATAGATCGTGCACAGACCAAATCGCAACTCTACGGATCATTGTGGAACAATCAATTGAATGGAATTCATCACTCTATATCAACTTCATCGACTACGAAAAAGCATTTGATAGCGTGGACAGAACAACAATATGGAAGCTTCTTCGACACTACGGCGTGCCTCACAAGATAGTCAATATCATACAGAATTCCTACGATGGATTAAACTGCAAAATCGTTCATGGAGGACAGTTGACAAAGTCGTTCGAAGTAAAGACCGGTGTTAGGCAAGGTTGTTTACTCTCACCCTTTCTCTTTCTCCTGGTGATCGACTGGATCATGAAGACATCAACATCTGAAGGGAAGCACGGGATACAGTGGACATCTAGGATGCAATTGGATGATCTAGACTTTGCAGATGATCTGGCTCTTCTATCGCATACACAACAACAAATGCAGGAGAAGACAACCAGTGTAGCTGCAGCCTCAGCAGCAATAGGTCTCAATATACACAAAGGGAAAAGCAAGATTCTTCGATACAACACAACATGTACCAATCCAATCACAATTGACGGAGAAGATTTGGAAGATGTAAAAACCTTTACATATTTGGGCAGTATCATCGATGAACACGGTGGATCTGATGCAGATGTGAAGGCACGGATTGGCAAAGCAAGATCTGCATATCTACAACTGAAGAATATCTGGAACTCAAAACAATTAGCAACCAACACCAAAGTCAGAATTTTCAATACAAATGTCAAGACAGTTCTACTGTATGGGGCCGAAACCTGGAAAACTACGAAATCCATCGTCCAAAAGATACAGGTGTTTATTAACATTTGTCTACGCAAAATACTTCAGATCCGCTGGCCGGACACTATAAGCAACAACCTACTGTGGGAGAGAACAAATCAGATCCCAGTGGAGGAAGAAATCAGGAAGAAGCGCTGGAAGTGGATAGGACACACATTGAGGAAAACACCGAACTGCGTCACAAGACAAGCCCTCATATGGAATCCTCAAGGTCGAAGGAGGAGAGGAAGACCAAAGAAAACATTACGCCGAGAAATGGAGATAGATATGAGAAAAATGAACAAGAATTGGATGGAACTAGAAAAGAAGGCCCAGGACAGAGTGGGTTGGAGAATGCTGGTCGGCGGCCTATGCTCCATTGGGAGTAACAGGCGTAAGTAAGTAAGTAACATAATGATATAATAAATAATATTCGCTAGAATTGTCTCCCAAATTTTAATGTTCGAGTGATAAGTGTTCAGATATGGTACTTTGCTTGATTCAATCAGATCTTTCAAAAACATAGTGGATAGAGTTGTCATTACTATTTACCAATACTCTTCTTATATAAAACACAGCACATTATATTTTCCAAATTAATCCGAATAATTATGATGCAATCAGAGTTCTAAAATGGTTATAAATCAGTCAGTCTTTTTGAGAGTTGAAAGAGTTAAAATGCTCCGAATAAAACACTAAAAAAGATGGGAATAAGAATGAATTTTCAACAAAGCGAAACCTGTACAATACCTATATATTTTGTTCAAACAATATTTTTAAACAGAATAGCTTGACAAAGTAATAAGTTCATTTTCTCAAAAGGCCTCCCATGATATATACAAAGGACCACAAATTACAACGATTATGGTAAACATTAACTAAATTGAACAGTAATTGAATTTCAAAATTTATGGTAGATTAGCGAGTTAAGCAAATAAAGAAATTATATATTTAGTCAGTTATTCGCGGAGGTAGTCTGCATTCTAGAACATGGATCAGAACAACGGTCATCATTTTTGTGGATTGGTATTTGCTGGAGAACTATTTAAAATCAGTTGATTCAACCCGGACAGGGATACCTCATATGCTTTCACACACGAAGATAAAACGGCAGATAATTGGATTCTGTTTCGCTGACACCCTCAACACAAAAGGTTCTGTGTGTGAAACTGTGAATGATTCTGAGTCCAGTTTATGATTTTAATGATATAAATATACAAATTTTCTACTTGTATTCATATAATTATGAGACGTGTTTATTTTTGCACACGAAAATTTGATAATTACGTTTGAAAGGAAAAAAATCTCAGAAAAAAGCTATTATCGTTATTATTATTATTATTATTATTATTATTATAAGCGCTCATGGAGTGTTAATTTTAAGAAAATGTAAGGAATATTAAAAAAAAATGAAAAATTAGTTAAACTCAGTAAGTTGAAACCTATGAGTGTAAACCGATTTCGCATTTCATAATTTTTCATTTCTTTACGTAATGTCTCATTGTTTTTAGCCAATATTGTAATTATAAATATTGGTATGGATATTCCTTGATAATCATGTATAAATAAATAATAGTTTTCATAATTAAATTATGGCTTGAGAATGTGTATTAATTTGACTCGCTTAATATATAGTGCACTTTGAAATTCATTTTGTTTTAATATGGCATGCCATCATGTGGTTTGAATAATTTTTTTTCTGGTTAGCGTTTTTTTAGCGAGTTAGTTTTATACGGGATGGAGTCGCTAACCCCATGCCCAACCCTCCTCCTTTCTCTGGGCTTGGGACCGACAATAGCCTCAGAGGGGCTTTAGACGAAGTTATCATGTGATTACTTGCAGATGACTCAAAGAGGTAATTTCAGGAGTTCTAATGAGAAGCTGTAATTAAATGAAGTGCGTCTTTCTGGGGGTGAGACAAATATCAATAATAACAATGGATAATAGTCATCCAAATCCTGGAATCGACTGGATTTAGATATCTAAACCACTAAATACTAACTCATAGGTTTGAAAGTCAAGAACCCGATGAAAGGCTTGAAGGTCCTGGGTTCGATTACTAGTGTAGTCCTAGATGAGCAATTCTCAGTCCTCAACTAGGACGAAACAGATGTTCATCCCATCCTAGTTTTCAATGATTATCTAGCTGAAGTGAGTTAGTAATGTGATACTTCGAACTCAATCTTCATAACACACTATAGTGTCAATAGCTTAATTAATATGCATCGTAAGTGATGTAATTCTACGTTATTTAAGCATGGTAAGTATGTCCTATTAAATATATATAACTTACGAAGGCTTACCTCTTTTGTAAAATAATAATACCGAGTACTAACCATTAAGGATAGTAGCTTTAAATCTATTTATACATAAAACTAGTTTTATTGAATGTTTAGAACTTCTATTGAATAAATACATAAAATCAAATTAGAAACTAAAAACGAAATATGCAATTGAATCGAGAGAAAATAGAGAGAGAGAGAGAGAGAGAAATAAAAAGAACTAACTTCAAAATGGAAAGAAAAATAATGATGAATATGAATAATCGAAAGAGGAATTTAATCTATGCATATAGATGATTCATCCACTCAATCT